AATGAAGATCCCGCTAAGTGACTCGGCCTCTTTCTGGTGTCTGACCACGGGCTGGCACACACAGTCCTCTTAAAATAATATGGTTTTCCTTTTAGCAGCCGGGGTTTGGCACGCTCGCCCAGCTCTGCTCAGCTTTTCTTTCATCAGGCCTAGTCTCAGAAAGCACTTGCTCACTTAGATGAGCTGTATCTGGCATGTGCTCAATTTAGCTAACAAAGATTTTATTCTAGCAATGTGGGGGGCAGGGAAATAGGGCAGAGAAATGGTGAGGGCTTGGAGAAAAAGCGAATGTATCCAGGCATTTACAGATCGCCTCAGATATTGCAGGCCGCGTTTCACAGGTCCTTTCTCCTAGCAGCACCCCATTTCGAGACCAGCACCCTGGAGAGGAAGGCTGAACAGGGTGAGGGCAGAGAATGCTCGGAGAAAATGGAACCACTCTACCAGGGTTCCTGCTTAATGAAGAAAGGTCATGAAACCTTTTCTCTACCACAGCAGTTTGGCTTCCCTTTTTACCTCAGAGAACAGCAGCAGCTCTTCGTGCAGGGCTTGCTGTAGCCTGGTGATGGGGTTATCTCCCTCTGCTCAGAGGTGAAACTCTGCCCACCTCCACACAACCTTGGAGATTAAACAGGTTTCCGGTACATCTGTCATCAGGAAAGAGAAATTCAGTTATGCAGGCCCCAAACGGTTCGCCTAATAAAGCCCCTCAGGTCTCCTAGCAATCGGCTATGCTTGAATATTTCCAACTATTTTTGCGAGGTAGAATTTAATTTTAGAAAGGTATGAAGGCCCTGTCAGTAAAACCAAAAGAGCTGGAACACAGAGGTTTAGCTGACACCAATCCTTCTAAATGCTTCACTTTATGAGGAAAATGAGCCCAGGACTGTGATTTATTCTTTACTTCCTGTTAGAATTAGAATCAAATGGATTGCTTTAATATTTTTGCCTCTCGCAAAGAAAAGTAATAAATCTAAGAAGGCTGCAAGCTGTTATGTTCAGGCCTAACCTTTCTCGTGTAATCACCCTACAGAAGATGTTGCTGGTTGCTTCCCCTAGTGTCTGTTCCTTTTCAGAAGAAATGGCTGGCAATGTGCTCACAGGAAAATACTCCTAGCCTCAGACTCTTCTACACATGGACGTAGCCATGCCACCCAGCTCTGGCCAATAACGTGAAAGCAAAGTCTATATCGTGGGCCTTCTAATGAAAATGGGCTCAGATAATATGTAAGTTTTGCACGGCCCTTTTTCTGTCTTCTTGGTTAGAATGTGAATATGATGGCTGGAGGCAGAGCAGCAACCTTACAACCATAAGGATAAAATCCTCACAGGAAGAATGGTGGAATAAGCAGCTAAAAGCAGTGTGGGTCCTTGACAACTGCCTTGAATAGTCGTAATAACAGCCTTGAAGTGCCCACCTCAAAACTATTTTCTTCAGCTGAACACAAAAAAACCATTTGGTTAAGACCTTGTACTTGGGTTTCCGTTAAAGGTAGCTAAATGCAATTCTAACTAATACCCTTTCAAACAACAAACTTTATACCATCACTTTAGGCCAAGGAATGGTCTGTCCTGCTGGCCGACTTTTCTCATTTCACAACATGAGGAAACTAGGGCAGTGAGAAAGTATAAAGTGAGAAATTTCCCTCTTGCTGAACCAAATTCTACCTCTCAGCCCTCAACTTCCTGAATCTCTCAGCAGCGTTTAGGCCATTGGCTACTTCTTCCTCCTTGAAATTTTCTCCTTCCTTTCTTCTGTGATATGACTTCCCCATGCTTTCCCCTCATCTTTCTGGCCCGTTTTCTAGTCTCTCATGGGTCCCTCTTCTTCCACCTGCCCCTTAAGTGCATATGTCCCCCAGGCTTGCTCCTTCTCTTAGCATCCCACACTCCCTTGCACGGCAATCTTATGTCCACCCGTGGCATCCACTATCAATGCCTAGAGTTATAGTAAAATGGTATCTGTCGACACCAGAAAAAGATGTCTAGAAAGTGCTAAGAAAAAAAAAAAAAAACAACTCACAGAATAAGATGTGCTGTTTGATTCTATTTCTGTTAAGTGGGAGGAAGGAAGAATATATGCCTAGAAAAAAAAAATTCTGGAAAGGCTATATAAACAAGATATTAACAGTGGGTGGGTGGTCAGGTTTAAAATTCTTAATTCAAATGTAAAATTAACACTTGAATCCCTAAAGATGGTGAGGAAGTAGAAATTGCTTCAATGGGTTTTCAGTCATTTCCAAATTATTTTTTCATTTTTACTCTACAGGTACTTTCTCATTCTTTTCACAGTCACTTATTCACTCAGTGAGTTTTTATCGTATGACTGCTCTGTGCCAAGGATGTGAGGAGCATTGTAAAAACAAACCCTAAGTACACGGAGCTTTCATTTGAAGCAAACTGGGTACTATCCTGTTTTTAAATCCATAGGGAAAGGGCATCATTTGCATACTCACGTAGGAGAGATATTCCACGCTATGTGTTACGCAGCAGCTCCCCTGCCATCTTTCCTGACTGAGCACCAGGCATTGCACCCCGGCCCAGTCTGATCGCTCCTTCATGACCCCCAGAGACTTTCCTGGGTGGGGCGCTTGGCGGGTCGACTCCGCTGGGCCTATCTTCTCTGGGCACTCTAGGGGTAACGTCCCCAGGATGTTGGCCAGCTTTCCTGATTAACTCTAAGCACTCCAAAGCAAAAAGTTTAGGAAAAAATTATAAAACGAAAACCACCATATACATGTCAAGCATGTCTGTCCTTGCCGCTTGCAGAACCCTCACCTCTGACAATTCCCTTTCTCCTGTGTCCAGCTCCAATTCCATAAAACTGCACTTGCAAAAATACGCAGGTGAAATGAGACAACTCTTGCCTGTGCTCAGAATTGGATGTGATGGCGAACAGGCTCAAACTTCTTTACTGCCACCACCAAACCTACAGAACCAGCTGCAGCTGGGTCTGTGCTTTCTGTCTCCCCTCCCAAGGAAGTGAAAGAAGCTGCCTTCCGCCCCATTTGTGACCAATCCTGTGCTCGTTCTCTGTATTCCAGTTTCTTGCCTCTTCACCAGTCTCTCTCCACTGATCATCCTCTTTCTCTCCTGTACCTTCAACTCCTCTATCTCTATGCTAGTTCTTTCTCATCAGCATTTAAACACACTAAAAGCCTCTTCCAATTGGGGAAACTTATTGAATGGATTGATTGTGTTATAAATTTTGGATGAGGTCAAAGCTCCATGCTGATCAGGCTGCATCTCGTGCATTTAAAAAAGAGTTGGGCCTTCTGGGGCTAGTAGGCCCATTAGCCAATTGCTTATTTACTGAACATGCTACAACGTTTTTTCAGTCTGAGATCTCCCTTCGGTTACTGGCACCAGACCACTTCCTTGATGATTAAGCACTCCGGCTTCTCAGGAAAGGCCTCTGATGCCTCATGTGTGGAATGTTGCTCCTCTCTTGCTGCTGAGCCGTTGCTGGATGAGCAGGAAGGATGGGAATAGAAGCTGCCAGCAGGTGCTGTGTACAGCACACCCATTACTCCAGCCTCAAACACGAGTCAACAGGACCTGTTGGCTCCATACGCCATCAATTCTTCATCTGAGTGGGGTGGGAGGAAGGGTTGTGTATCTAGTTCACTTTAAAGGAGGGCCACTTAAATGTCTTTTAAGTCTAAAGAACTAGAACTCATTCTTGATGCATGAGTGGGAAGTATTTGGAAAACTGGCTAAAAAATTCATAGAAGTTATTGCCATTTTCTGAGTATGTATGCCCATGAGCATTTTTTAATCCATCTTTTGGTATTAATGGGCTGGTTTTTCACTAGAATCAGTGTGAGAGAAGTCTGATACATTTCCCCAAAGCCTCCTTTACTTACCTGGAAAGAGAGCTGCAGCAGGGCTGGAATTCGTCAGCTGCTGGACTGTGTAAATCTGGGGTACGTGAGGAGGGCTTCATTCAGGTGACTCTTCTAGGGGTTTTTAGGAGTAAGAATTTGGGTTAGAAGTTGGCCAAGCCACAGGGTTTTTGAAGAATCTAGTATGACCTCAATTTCCCAGGGGCCTGTTTTCAAGTCTTATCTGAAAACTAGAAACTCTCATATCTGTTGAATCTCCCCATTCACCCATCATCACCCGGTGTTCCACAGCACCCAAGGCTGAGGTAACCACAGCACGAGGCTGCCAGCTATCATGGGACTTTTTATGAATTTGGTTCCTGACATTGGCCTTATACTTGGGGCACAGAGATTTTAAAAAGTGTTAGTGTTCATCTCTCAACTCTCCCGCCCCCACAAGCCCCTATTCTTCCCACTGCACCAGATCTCCTGGGCACCTCCCCCAAAGGGTGACCACCCAACAGCCCACATGAGCCAGTCTACTAATGTGTTCAGTTGTATTGAAAATCAAAACAGAGGTCTGAGAAAACAATTAGCTTTGAAAGACACCAGTAGAGGCCCGAGAGAAGCCCCCTGCAGTCTGTTACAGATCGGGGTGACAGCTTTGGAAAGCAGGCTTGTTTATCCATGTCTCAGGTAAGCGCGTGCATGCGTGCCTGTGTGTGATCTTTCTGCCTTTGCCCAGATGTGAGCATGGGCTTTGTTGATAACAAGTGATTTTGACTTTAAGGGTATGGTGTGTGCATAACCTCTGATGTATGGTTCCCCGGGGTGAAAGGACACACATCCGCGTCTGGTCACACGCATTATCTTGACCCTTTCTTGCAGCAGCTCTATTCGTGAGGAAGGGAGACAGCCCCTTGAATGTTTTTCACGTCTTTCCTGTGTGCTCTCCTGGTCGTCGCCCTCTGGACTAATCCACCCTTTTGCGAGGTCTCCCTTCTGGAGCAAACTGCCAAAGTCCACTTGTGTTTTGGCTCCAGCAGCTGGTTTAACTTGCTTTAAGTTTTAATAGGAAGAAAGT